TATAAACATAATTTATTTTCATTATAAAAGATTTTCGTTTTTTTTCTAACATCTTGAGATATCTTGAAAATTAAAAAAGTCATTTAAAAGATTTTTACTTGGGATTTCTTCAGAATTTTTTTATGATCTTAAAAACCATCAAACTAGTTATCTTTAGGTTACAGAATAGGAAAAGCATAAGAAAAAAATAACATACACATTGAACAGTACTAAATAAATTTTTTAAATTGTACAAAAGGAATATCAATTGTCAGCTTCAGACTAAACCAAGACAACAGAAAAATTGATCTATGAATGATTTAAGTGAATTTTCAAAGTAATTATTGTAAAAGCTAATTTATATAAAAGAATCCTCTGCTGGGACAAGTAATATTTTTGAATGAAGGCAATTATTTAAACTTATTAAAACTTTATGACAATTGACAGATTTATTGGCAAAACTAGAATTAAACAATAATTGGCTTTACTCTTGCAACACATTAAAAAGCATTTATTTTTGAATCAGTAATTTCTGATTGCATTAATTCCTACCAAAATATGTCATTTCAAGAAAGAAAAGAAAAAAAGATTGACAAAACGATTTGAATTATTACTGAAACCTTGAAGAATCATCAAAAAGATTTTCCTATTTTTCTTCCTTCCTTCCTTTCTCATAATATAAACTAGTCTCATTTAGTTCACTCTTATGAGTGTCTTCAATGTCAAATTAGAATTTAATGCCAGGTGGTATTTGTCAGAAAATAGATAAGCAGCCTGGATACCGAAGGTAAACACTGTTGTGTTTATTAATCTATCTTTACTGGAATTAACAAAAACATATCAAAGTTGAATTTTTCCCTCTCAAAGACTGACAGAAACATTGATGATGGAAAACAAGAACTGATATGGACCGAAACCAAACTACAAGTATATTTAATATAGTGTACTATATTATAACTAGAATTCTTTCATTATAGCATATAAAAGAAGAGAATCAGTAAGTAAAATGATTATTTTTATGAGATGAAACACTAGCAACCATCATTAATAATTTTTTTAATTGTATTTACTTTCATCTTAATTTTTAGTTGCTTTTTCTTTTTATTCATATTGTAGTGAGTTGACAGTAGAAGATTGAAAATAAAAGACAAGCTCTTGGTGAGATTCAAACTCACATCTCTTTTGCTTCAGAAAAGTCTAGTTGAATGTACAAGTTTCTTTAATTGCTAAGTTACAAAAACTTGACAGCTTTTTCAGAAGACCAAACCTAATCTTTAAACTGATGACTTTGTCCTACAAGCTTTTTAGAACTATATTTTTGTTTTTACACTAATAGTATTAATAGCAGCATTATCATCTTCATTTTATGTTTACCAGACAAAGTTTTACGTCCTTGACATATTTGAGAAATATATTAGAACAAAATAATCCCGAACCTATATTGGCAGCAAACCACTTGAATACCAATAGAAAATGAGTTCAGTAAATACACAAAAATAGGAAGTGGTGTAAGACAAGGATGTGTCTTCTCACTGGACTTATTTAACAGTGAGATAATTATAGGTCATACCCAGATTTATTATTGGTGGCCACAATCCTAACAACAGAAAATATGCAGATGACAGTGTTGATAGCATATATAGAAAGAAAAATACAAGAACTCCTAGTAAAGGAAAGCAAGAAGGACTAAACATCAATTGCAAGAAGACTGAATGCATGGTTGTTTGCAAAAGGGACAGCGCAACATGCAAATTACAAATTGAAGATATCAAAATCAAACAAGTACAACAATTTAAATATCTAGGAAGATGCATTGGGATAGCAAATAATGCCTTCCAAAAGCTAAGCAAAGTATTAAAAGACAAAAATTTTATTAGAAAAAAAGTACCAAACTGTTACATAATATCCCTCCTCCTATATGGCAGTGAATGCTGGACAATCTCCTCACAGATGAAAAAGAGACTTTATACAAAAGAAATGTGATTCTGCAGAAGGATGTTGAGTATACCATGGACCAAACATGGGAGCAATAACAAAAATGAAACTTATACTTAACATCAGAAAGATGGCTTAAAAATTTTGATATTCACAGGACATTTTGAAGGCAAGGAGGACAAAGAAAAACAGTACATAACCTACCAAGTGAGCTTGAGTAAATGGATGGCAGAGTAAGGTTAAGGAAAGCTAACAAAAAGACAAAAAGACAAAATTTATTAAGACTTACAAAAGACAGGAAAATGTAGAGAGCCATGATCACCTATGTCCTGAAGGGATATGGCACATAGAAGATGAAACATTGTAAACCAACATTATTTTTTTTATAATTATTTATTTTCAACACTGTACTGTCTGTTGATATTTTCTCTTACATTATTAAAGTAAATATTACCTGCCAGCACATTCAGTGGATGACTTGAGAATACCAAATATAAATAACCTCTCACTCACCAAAAATAAAGTAATTCTCTGAAACCATTTTTATTTATTTTTTTATTTAAATCAAAATTGGTAGATGAGTTGG